CTTGCGTCCCTCAGCAGAGCCAGTGACACTTCGCCTTTCAGTTTCCACCTCTCAGCAACTGGGGAAATTTGGGACCGTGGTGAGACCGTAGCGTAAGGTACAGGAGCAGAAGGGACCACGGGTTCAGACAGAGATGTCCTACACCTAAAGCCAATAGTCTCTTGGCACCTCAGCTGCAGCCACCCCTGAGCAGGAACCAGTCCGGACCCAGATTATGCAGGTAATTTTTGCCTCCCCCCCCTTTTAACGAAGAATAAATGTGTCTCCCACTGGTGGCTGGAAAGTCACCAGAGCTGAGTTGTCTCCTTGCATCTCTCCAGGCCAGTGACATGAAGGGATGAGGCTTCCTCTGCTGGGTTTTTCTGCAGAAGTCAGGCACAGAAAACATCCCTGCAGAGATGTGTGTGATCAGCGGTGCTGCTTCACCTCCTCATTCATCGTGAGTCTTATTTTAAGGGAGCAAAACTTGTCCAGGTCCACAGCAAGCCAAGAACCTGGAGACTGCTGTTATTGCCAGGGTTTCAGGCTGGAAGACCTCTTTCTTGGGACGTGCACTGTTTGGCCATTATTGTTGAAGTCCCTGCTTGGCTTCGGGAAACAACACAAGTCTCCGTTGTAGCTCCACTCAAAGACATGGAGGGAGAGGATCCAGCCGCACCACCCACAGCTCCACACAAAAGCTCAGCTCCATACAGAAACATTTCAAACGCATCACTTGGGTTTGTCAGCCTTATTAGAGTTGTTAAGCTCACTCCTCTAAACAATCATTTAAATGTGTTTTTACTGTGTCTTCAAAGCAAAAATCAAACAAGATGCAAGCTGCCATGGCTAAAGTCAGTATTAGTTCTGAGAACAAAACATCCCCGTAAGTGCTCGGGTACCTACCCAGTCCCACCCAGCACAGCAGAAATGCACCAAAGGACACCAGCCAAAGGAGCTTTTTCAAGATGACATATATCTCCAAGCCAGCTTCCTTATATAATCAATGATGATGTATTGGGTTTACATGGCAAGGTTTTGGTAGCAGGGGGGCTGCAGGGGTGGCTTCTGTGAGAAGACG